CTTATCATACCAAACAAATGATGAGCCCTCAAAAGAGTAAATGCTAGTGGTGCAGAATTCTTACTACAGTCCCCTGTTTTCTTTCCCACTTTTGTCTGTTGCTTGTTGACGAGCACTTAATAGTGAAGGTGTACAATTATCATCATTTATGGGCTAGTTAGGCTGATCCAAGTTCCTCTCCCTCAAATGATTGTTATTTGACAAAGTCGACCGAATCGCTCTCGGTACTTTTAATGGGATATCAGTTTCGGCATTGATTTTTGGCTGCTCAGTAACTTCAGCATTCGGCTGTGCCTGAGCTGCAGCAGGTGTTGTCGGAACAAGCTGAATGACCGACTTGCGCCATTTGTACCTCGGAACATTTAAAAATATATATATATATACTCGAAAAATTCAATTGACGGACAAATTTAAAAAAAGAAAAAGAAAAAAACACATTTTCAAGAAGAGCGGCCAAAAATTTGTACTCCAGGAAGGAACTCAGTGAACAGACAGTTTTCAAGCAAATATTTTAACAGATAAACTATACAGTGAGGCAAAACATTACGGTTCAGAAAAGAGCGGAATTCTAATACGTTTAAAAAAGTTCCTTTTCCACAACTTCAACCATCCCTGCAATTTGTCGAGAGATTTCAATCTGACTCCGCATCCTTTGCAATTGTGCCGCCACAGGATCACGGTTGATCTACAAATTTAAAAGCGCAAAATTCGGCATACAATGTACATTTTAATTTCTTTTTGAAATTGGATCATCCACAACAATTTACAAAATAAATATTTCTATAGATCGAAGCTTACAATTGCTTTATTCTGAATGTTCCGTACACGGTTTGCATACTTCAAGGTAATAAGTGTTTCCTCAGCATTTGTGTAAGCGGGGCTGATACATACTGCAACACATGAAAAATTTAGTCACCAAAAGATAGTTCATACATATTAAAATAGCCATACTTGCATATTCCAACCATAAAATGAGAACATATGTAAAAGTATACCAATCATTATTGTTTTGCTGTTTCTACCAAGAGAATCCTGCACAGATCAAGTACCAATTAGCTCTGTAAGTCCATGAATAAGAATTCTTTTGCAGAAGACTTTCTCAAAAGAATGTGATTGAAATATAAAATATCTTGACAAGCAAAAGAGAATTAATTAAACTAGAACTGCTCAAATTAATATCCGATATTTCTCAATGAAATTTGATGGTATCAAGACTGAGTTAGTTAACTTGCCTGCAGTATCCGTGTTAACTTGCTGTCACGGTAAGGAACATACCACCGCCCTCCTTTCGCTTCTTCTCATCCCCTAAGGCTCTAATAACATTACCAAGAGCCAGCAAAACCTTATTGATGTAAATGTCTGGGGCACATAAAAATAGAAGGTAGAATAATTCAGTCATCCACAACTGACAAACCGAAAAGCAAGATTTAAATCAGGATAAGATGTTCTCATGTATCTCAAAATATATCTTAAAGCAGACTAGTCAAAAGATGAACAAGGGAAACCGAATCACATTAGGTGTCGTGCTGTTTAATGTTCAATGAGGATAAAGATAAAATAATTCACAGTTTTTAGTTAAAAAAAAAAAGTAAATAACTTAACATGCATACATTTACATAGGTGAAGTGTAAAGAATATCACAAACAAGGGAAAACTAGAAAAGAAAATAAATGAAAAATAAGAATACGTACGCACTACATAAACAATTACCTTCCTGCGAGCGTGTTCCATCTGCACCAGTTCGTTTTGCACGTTCAAAGCCGGCAAGATCTACCAAGTGAAGCTTCCCAACCAAAAGATCATCAGCATCATCACCAGCTGATGTTTGAGGTGTTTGTTTTTGCTCCATTGAGATTGTGAAAATGGCATGTGATTGTGAACGGATGAGAGGAATATATTGGTAAAAAGAATGTTATGCAAATTGAAATCAAACTTTTTGGACTCTCATATTCAAACAAACTGCTCCATTAATAATGCTAAAAATAATCATCCATAAACTGATGATACCTCACTTTAAAATTGTAGCTAGCTAAGAAAGGAAACATGATGATCAGAGCTAATCAACTTCATTTGCTTACATGAACGAATTGATTAACTTAACTGAAAAGTACTAAATATGAAGTAGAGAGAAAGGCACCTCGATTGAATGAACCTTGCAGCAAGTGTGAAGCCATGTCTTCCTTTGGGTGAGTGGAGAAATTGCACTTGACGGTGTTAAAGAGGCCGTGGTGAACACAAAGGAAGACATGGCTTCACACTTGCGGCAAGGTTCATAGTTTTGCTAACGCTGCTGGGCTTCATTTTTCCTCTAAATTTTAGATTGGGGCGTTAGGGTTTTGGTGCTAGTGAAGACGACTCTTGGTCTGCGAAAATGGAACACGAGGCTTCACCGAGCATAAGGGTTGCTGTATGTAATAAAGCTAGAAACTAAACATGATTTTCATTAATGGAGAAAGATTTTACAGTAGAATGAAGAAAAAGAAGAAAGATTCTTCTGTACAGTAGAGAGAGAGAATGCAGAAGCTGCGCATAAGAAAAGTGATGATATCTAACCCTAATCTGCCGATTTATATAAAGCCCAATACATAAAACTAATAACTCTAAGGACCTGAATGCAAATACATGAAAATATGTAAAATACATGTTTTATATATAGACTAACTAGTACGTACCCCGTGCGATGCACGGGACATAGATAGTAAATGAGTTATTTTCACATGCTCTGTCCGTTTAAGTCTAAAAAATAATAGACTTATCATCAAATTTTCACATATTTTAATCATCGTTATGTCTAGAAAATAATAAAGTTATAATAAATTTTACACCTCTTATAATCAACGTTTTTTTAGCTCCAACATTAAATATGAGCATGTTAGGGCTAGCTTGTAAAATAAATAATATATTATTTAACTAACACATTATACTAATATAAATTTAATTTTAGTATATAAATTTATTCATTGATATAAGAGAAAATAACAATTTTACTTATTATTATTCACTATATAATACTTAATTATTGTTTTATTATAAACTTTGTTGTCATAGAATGTCATTATTATTTAAAAAAATTATAAAAGTTGTACGTCTTCTTTTTATTTTTATTTTATGAAATGAAAAATATTTAAAGCACATTAGTGTTATTTATTTATGTAATCAATTTAAAATATGTAAATAAATTTAAAATTAAATAGTGTATAAATATTTTACAATATATACACACATGTTTTTAAACTTAATTTTGTATACTAATTAAACAACTTTGATTTAGCAAATTTTCAAAAACTCAATCCCTTCTATAATCCAGATTTAGCTAATTTGCATTATAAGTATTTATAATTTATTTAGCATAAAATATATTTTACAACATTTTCATTATAGAAAGAAATAAAATAATAATAGTAGTAATAATAATAATAATAATAATAATAATAATAATAATAATAATAATAATAATAATAATAATAATAATAATAATAATAATAAAAGTAATCATGGTTGCCAATAATATACAATAAATTTTAATACAGTTAATTTATTTCAATATTAATTGACCATTAATAAAACTATTTGATGTATATGGTCATTATGTCTTAAATGATAAATTATATTAATTTGAAGAATAATTTATTTTATATATATAACAAAATAAAGCGTAAGAAAAAATATATTGACAAAACTTAATTCACCTACTTGATTTCGCTTGATTAATTAGAAGAAAAAAATTCTACATAATATATTACGATTTTCTATAAGTACTTTTAGATAAAAACAGAAGTGAATATATGAGAAAAAAATAATATTATGGTTATAACTAAAAATATGTTGTAATATTATCTTGATCAAAATATTATCACGTGAATCAGTAAAGTCAATCTTGTAATTTATTATAATGGATGTCAATGAACTTATTGTAGATATTAATAAAATTATTTAAGAAAATAATATTTTTTACCATATCTTATTTGAAAACGTATATATGGAAGCAATGAATGCATATATTAAAATTTTTAAAAAAGGTATGCATTAAATGCTCTCAAATTTGTTTACTACTATTTAAGTAGGTGTTATTCTTATTATATACATTTTTTTAAAAAATGGTACAAATTTAAAAGCAATCTAAATTTGTCCAAATTGAATTCAGCCCGATTTTTTTTATAATTATGGAGTTTATATTATTGGTATTTTTAATTTAGAAATTCATAAAATTTTCATACACCCAGATTTTGAAATCAAAATTTTGAAAATTTAAGTTGAACAAAATCATTAATTTTGAGGAATAATTTATGATTTTTTTTTTCAAAACGATAGATCATATTATAAATCAAAATGCACAAATATGCGAATACACAGCAGCCAACG